AGGGGGAGGGAGAGGGGGAGGGGGAGGGGGAGGGAGAGGGAGAGGGAGAGAAACTAAGTATCTGAATAAGGACATATGTGGCACCCTAGACTTTCTTGTTGTTTGGAAAGTAGAACTAGAAAAGATCCTCCTCAAGCCTTCACTTTAAGTCCTGGAAAAGGAAGGGAAGATTCAGAAAGAGAAAGCCCCTTTCCCAAGTTAGAGTTAAACAAAGTCTCCCTAATGGGTGCAGTGGTTCTCAACCTTCCTAATGCTGCAACACTTTAATCCGGTTCCTCATTTTGTGGTGACCCCCCAACCATAAAATTATTTCATTGCTACTTCATAACTGTAACTTTGCTAGTTATGAATCATAATACAAATATCTGATATGCAGGATATCTGCTATGGGACCCCTATGAAAAGATCATTTGTCCTCCAAAGGGGTCGTGACCCACAGGTTGAGAACCACTGGGATAGAGTTAAAGTCTCCCTAATAGTTAGCTTTATGATCTCTCCACTGTTCACAATAAAACACTGGAGCAGGAAGAGCAAGGCCTTACTTCTTCTCCTGCCCTTTAATCAGCTTCCACCTATCTCTTACTCTATGCTAAGGACTTCTATACATCTCTCCTTGGGAAGTAATACCTCTCGGAGCTGCCTCTTTCCCAGCTCAGGCTGTATACAGATGTAGAGTCCTTATCAATTTCAGAGCACTGGGTCTTTCCCACTCTTTAAGAATGCTGTGGTAAGTGGGAAAACTCGAGCCTCCTTTCCATCTACTGCAAATAACTAGAAGTTATATACAAAACCAGAATCAACTAGGACGGTGCAGTCATTACAAGGAGATCTGAAAGAGAAGATTTCTTGTGTCTGATATTGTTTCTGAAAGCCGTGGCTTATGTGGAAGTCCTTGGGTGTTTTGTCTAGAAGCATGAAGATATGATAAGAATAAGAAATGTATAGCCCAATGACTAGATACTGGTTAGTAATACTATGAATAAAGGCATGTTTTTTTGAATCTCAAGTCTTCTGGAATGGGAGCAGGGCTTCTTTACAGAAAATAATAAAAATACATTGCTTTTGCAAATTGTGCAAATAAAATCCCATATCATGTAAATGCTTGGTTAAGGCTTCTCGAGGCCTTGCAAAGCTGTGCAACAACAAGCAAGGTAATCTGCCTCAGAGCAGTGTTAGCCCTTATCAAGACAATGTTTTGTCAACCCAAGAAAGAAAATGAGAAACCCTTAACCCCAGGCACCCACCTCAGCTGATCAGTGCTACCCAGCTTACCTGTCTTAAGAAGATGCTGCTTCCCCAAGATCCATACCAGCTCATCTGTATCCGGGAATTCTTCTAGGTAGTCAGTGAAAATAGTAATCTGGTTTTCATACTTGGACATAACTAAAGGAAAATGAAGGAGCATAAATATCATTTCATATGGGGCTTATTTCTATGATGCGCTGATTTCTACCATTGCCCTGAAAGTAAAAAGGTCATCGGCTTGACTCCAAAAGAATATTTAAATAAGTGGGCACACAGCAAGCACTTTACTGAGCTACTTTCTCAGCCTATTTGTGACCTATTTCTCATGGTTCCATTTAAAATGATATCTGAAAAGCCACATGCCCAGAATGACTTTAAAATTCTTTCCTTTCATGAGCCTCCTTCATAAATATCCACTTACCTAGCTTCTCCCCACAAAAGCAGACCAAGGTAAGACAGTAATGGCTCCTGTCTGTTCACAGAGAATACGAAGAACTTTCTATGGTGAGATTTCCAGCAGCCAAGACCTTGGAGGGGGCTGTGACAAGCCTGGCGAATGTACTATTGTCAGGATGATAACACTGTAGCTAGAAGACTCGATATTTTTACAGTGCTTTTATTTTCCATCTTACTCACATATGGCTCCTACAAAGAAGGCTCTTGAGGCTGACTATAAATAGAACTTGTTCTTGAGATTCACAAATGGCTATTGTGATGTTGTGATATAATAAGAACTATATATTTGCTCGCTGTCCCCATTTTCTGGCACACAGCTCTGAAAATCCCTGTAATTTCCTGAGCACTGGGATGTCAGATGCATCTCTTTTTTTGTTCTAGTATTTGCTCTTAAATCCTAGTTCCAGACATGGAGCTCCTAATCCCTTGTAATTTCATAGGTTATATATAAGGGATGATTCCTATTTCTGATTATTTCTTGTAACTGAATAAGTAACGGTTAATTCTGACTCATCAGGGATAAATTCTTCAGTCTTAATATGTAAGACCACTCTTTCAGCATACTGACAGTCAGTAACTATGTTGAGATTCCGAAAAGTCCATTAATACCATCAGAATAGCACACAATTCCGATTTTTGGACAGAATTATAAGGACTTTGAACCACTTTAATTTCATTTTCTGATTTGTAACCAGCCTTTCCTTGTTTGTTTGCATCTGTATAAAATGTAGAACTGAAGAGTACCTTCAGTTCTAATAAGACCATTCTTGGTGAGCACTCAGATGGGTCTAGTCACCCGCAAGACTCAGCAGTGATTAAAAGCATGAAAGATTCATTCCACCCCACACCCTGCAGGAAGGGGAGAGAGGATAGAGATTGAGTCAAAAATAGCTCATGCCTACATGATGAAGCTTCCATAAAAAATTCTTGCGTGCTGGGGTCTGGGGAGTTCTGGATATGTTAAATACATACTGGTGCCTGCAGAGGAAATAGAAAGCTTCTTGCCTCTCCCACTTCTCATACATATCTTCTGTTTGGCTATTTAACTGCATCCTTTGCAATTTTTTTTAATAATAAATGGGTAAACGTCAGTAAGTACTTCCCTGAGCTCTGTGAGCAATCCTTGCAAATGATTAAGCCACAAGTGGGGAGGAATTTGGGACAGTAGTAGTAGGAACCACGCTTTATAGTCAATCAAAAGAAAAGGTCACAACTGGTATCTCAAGTGTGGGCAATCTTGTCAGACTGAAATCTTGGACCCTAATGCTAGGCAGATGGACACCATAAAATTAAATTAAATCATCAGACACACAGTTGGTGTTTGCTAAGGAATTGGTATGCTGAGAACCTGTGGGGCGTTTACCCACCACCCCCACAGCTTCCCAGAGTTTTCTTGAGTGCGAGCAGCAGGAAATATTAGAAGGATTTATAGCGGAGCATCTTGCGGAGATAAACAGATAGAAAATAAAGGACAGCCTCGAGAGGGCCTGGAACCTATTCCAACAGTCCCCGACTGTCTCTGGCCCAGGGTTTTTATAGAGACGCCAAGGGGTGGAGCAAAAGACCTCCTCCCCCAGCACAGCCAAGTGCAGACCATCTCAGACACCTGCACTCAGGCCTGTGGTCCTGATCATCCTCTATGTGGACCTGCTGGGTAAAGCCACGAGGAACCCGAGAACGGGCTCCCACAAGAACCCACCCCTTTCAGACACATAGGCTTTCAGAGGTGCTGAATGCTGAATGTCAGTAGCAAAAGCCAGTTTTCCTAATATATTCATCTATAGTTATCTCTCAAGGTAAAGCAACCAAGTGAAATCTAGCTAAATCCCATGAGTTACTCTTAGAGCTTACAACTCTGTGATCTGAGAGGTGTTCAAGTGGACATTCACATCTGTGGGAGGGAGGAAGAGGTATGCTACATGATTCAAGACTGACATGGGTAGGTATAGGGGTCCTGCCTCCAAATTGTTTCTAAGTAATTTTCTTATGAAGCAATAATAATATTATAGATAGTAAATGTTTCTAAGCCAGAATATCAAAATCTGTTTTAATGTAACCAAATAAATAAATTGATAGCTGTATTTCATAATTTGTTTCTATCTGCATGAGAACTATTTGCTGTGAGTTAAAAGCAAAGGCATCCATTACATCCCATCTCTCAGCTTTTGAAAGTTCCCTAGCCCCTCTCCAAAAGGAAGCTAAGAGAGAATAGGGAATCTTTTGTTCAGCTACGAGTAGCTACAAGGACCCTTCTAAAGCAGTCCCTAAGCGTCCCATGGGTGTATTTTCCTGTGGGAGTGGCATTGTGGGATATGTTTAAGTCACCTGAAAGGCCAGATTGTTTGCCAGATTTGTTTTCTAAATCAGAATCATGCTGTCTTCATAGAAATAACTGCTCCTAGGTATAAAGGAGACCTTGCCAAGTATGAAGGCAGGTGTCTCTGCTCAAAAGACTTTGCTGGAGGTTGAAGTCACAATCTGTGCAAGCACTTTTAGAAACACAGTTAAGTGGGAGTATTTTCTTGAAACATATTACAGAATTCTCATCTTTCAGGAATGTAAGTAGCCTTTCTCCATCCGTTTGTTTTCCTTACTAAGATTACAGTCTCTGTAATAGGGTTTCACACTTAAAGAAGTTAGCCATGGGACGGCTATCTCATTCCCCAGAGAGCATTCTGCCAGAGAACCTGTGCCCTCTTAACCTCTCTGCCTCTGGCCTCAGGCCCTGGCCCACACACAGGAAATACCAGGCTAAAAATGATCTTTCAGGTCAAGCCCTTCCCAGGGGGTGGTGGGTGACAGAGGCGGGGTAAATCACATGGTGTACCTCTCCATCCCACCCGAGATCCATTACAGACAAGAGAAACCAGGTAGAAATGAACACCCAGTGCTCTTCCACAGTAAGAAAAGATAATTTTTGGAGTAGCTTGAGAGGAGCATGGGAAAATGCCAGCCTCTCAGGCATACTGGATAGAGTGAGGATAGGTGACACTATCAATGTACAGCATGTATGCACAGAAACTTTAGATCTGTTTTTAGTGTGGACTGAAGGAAGGGATATCTATTGCCAACTCTGCCACAGTGAGTCATTGGCCAGCTATCTGGTCAATTTGGTTCAGCCCTTTAAAGTCTGTGACAACTGCCCTGCTTCATTTAGGATGGCTCTGAATGAAATGGTAGCCAAAGAATTTGACTCTGGCTCTTCACCCATTCTCAAGCTGTGCTAGGCCTGCAAGAAGGTCATTAGAGCTTCTATTTGTATCCTTTCTCCTCTTAGAAGACAGACTCCCAGAATGCAGTGTGTCTGTCCTCAGCAAGTCCTGAGTCAAGGCTGCATGTATACAACAAACAGAAGATGAGTTTAACAGAAATGGCAGGAGTGGCCCAGAGTCTCTATCTGTAAGTGCACCTGGGAAAGGAAGACGAGGTCCGTCACCAGGAGAACTCAGACAGAAGGCAAAGCCACCTGGAAGTGCTTGAAGTAGTAACAACAAAAAATCTCATTTCTGACACAATTTCTTTGGACTACCAGCAAAGCCTTTAACTCTCCTCACTCCACAAACTCCGTTTGGCTAGCCCTTCAGGTTTAACAAACAAGATACCAAGCTCATAAAGCCTTGTTCTCTCAGGCTGTTTAAAGGTGAGGATCCAAACATGCCTCGGTTGACCAAAATGAACTGATATTAGGCCTAAGGAAAAATAAACTCTACCTTGTTAGAATAATTATTGTACTGACGTCTCTACTGGATTAGCTAATGATTAAACCAGGATTTCCTTTAACTCCTGTAACCAAAATGCCTTTCATCCTTGACCAAGGGGATTTATACATATGTTAGGGCATGTCTTCGCCACCAACCCAGCCAGGCAATCTCTCTGCCTTCCATTTTCTGCTTGTGTAAGGCTCAAGAATGAGAATTTATGACCTATACAAATGTGTCCTGAATATGCACACAGCCTTGGGAATGCAACAGCCCTGTGTATACATGTGTTTTCTAGATTCTCAGGACTATCTCAAGCTTTTAGAAATTCCCGAGGTATCTTAGCCCTCTGTTTTTCCTTGGAAGCTTTCTGATTAGTTAACTGGAAAGGTTATCTACTGCCTCGAGCAACTGAGAAGGTAATTGTGTCTAATGGTTTAAAAAACAACACCCTGGGTAAAAGGCTTTCTGCAACCCAGAGTTGAGGTCAAGTAAATAAGACTTTAAGTGGGGCCTTCCAAAGAACAACTGGACAGAGGACATGGGGACAGTTCTTCAGAACTGAAACTATAGAGGAGCCATGGTGGCTGCTAGGCAGCGGGAGTTTCTGTGACTGGAAGCTGGTGATTTTCAAGGATATTCTAGCTACAAAGGACAAGGCCAAAGATGGGGCCAGACAAGAACTACCGCAAAACTCTTCTGCTGCTGCTGGTTTTCTTGACTATAAGGCCCCTAAACTGGTACAAGCCTTTTCATTTCCAGAATTCTGAAATATTGACTCTGACATGTGCTGCCTGGTTTTTTTGGGGGGAGTGGGGGTTGCCATTAAGGAGAGAATTTTCAGAGGTCCTTGCTCTGCCATTTTTGCTGATGTCATATTTTTCCCAGGGAATGACTGTATTTTCTCAGGGTTGTTTTGGAAAATTGCAAGTAAGTGAAAAAAAGAAGATTGCCTTGAAAAAACAAGATTTTTTTTGCTACAGT